ACCAGCCGTTTCACAGTAACCATCACACTGAAAGAATGTGAATTCACCAAAGGACGAGGTCAGTGGGGTGGCTTGCATGCACCCTTGGTGGCCCTTGGGCACTGCTTGGAGCGTCCTGACCTCACACCTGCCTCAGCCCTTCTGTCATCATTTTCACCCTATCTATCAATCTGACAGCTGTCCTGATTTTCCTCATGATTTCCACCCTCAGAGGGTTAGTTTCCATTGTGATATAATAAGAGAGGTTTAGTCTCTGAAGTATTTTTTTTTCCTAGTTTGTATTTTGGCTTCTTTTCCTTGGTTGTCTAACTAGGTTACTCCCTGCCAGTTATTTGAATTTTAGAACGATAGAGAATACTGGGGGGGAGGGGGGGATGTACACATTAACCTGACATTAAAGGTATCCACTAGAACAATTCACATGTGTGTGAAGTTGCTGCTTCATTCTCTGCAATGCTGCTCTCCGTCTCACTGTCCAGTGTGGGGGGTCGGCTGCCTGTGCAGCAATTCTGTGACCTGGCTGAGGCAGGTGCAGAGGAGCAGCTGAGGCAGGAAGGGCAGCTGGAATGCATGAAGTGGCCGCCAGTGCCCAGGGTCAGGGCTCTACCAGTTTCCTGCCAATGAATAGGGGCTCAAAGAAGTTCTGTGACATGGTTCCATCCACATAGGGACACGTGTGCTGAGTTTACCATGCACACGCTACTTTATCTGGTGCATTGCTGGCAGCAGAGGGCTTCCATCTTGACCCACAGATTAAGAACTAAACCTTCCGTTGTGGCCTCGCTTCTGGCTCATGCCCGGTGCAGCACAGTGCGGGCCCGAGTGCTCCGCCAGTGCTGCGCCCCCAGGGGCTTGGCGATCATTATCTCTTCGTGGAGGGATGTATAGCGTGTAACTGGGGGAGATGCACTGCACGCTGGCTTCACCTTAGCTGGGGCCCCAGTGAACCCGGATGTGAATGAAGAATGACAGAACAGGTGGGAAAAGACAGTGCAAGTGCTGGTCTTACCAATTGCTGTTAAAACGCTCAAGTGCTGCCAACATTATGATCACACCAGTGGGAATGTATTGCTCTGGCCTTATGTGCAGGTCCTCCTTAGCTGGAATACGGAACCATGGCCTTCGGGACGCCACTTTGGTGCCTTTTTGTTATTTTTTAAAAAAATATTTTACTGCCGAAACCGGTTTGGCTCAATGGTAGAGCGTCGGCCTGCAGACTGAAAGGTCCCAGGTTCGATTCCGGTCAAGGGCATGTACATTGGCTGCGGGCACATCCCTGGTGGGGGATGTGCAGGAGGCGGCTGGTCGATGTTTCTCTCTCATCGACGTTTCTGGCTCTCTATCTCTCTCCCTTCCTCTCTGTAAAAAAATCAATAAAATATATTTTTTAAAAATATTTTACTTACTTTTTATAGAGGGGAAGGAAGAGGGATAGAGTTAGAAACATCCACAAGAGAGAAACATTGATCAGCAGCCTCCTGCACACCCCCCACCGGGGATGTGCCTACAACCAAGGTACTTGCCCTTGACCAGAATTGAACCTGGGACCCCTCAATCTGCAGACTGATGCTCTATCCACTAAGCTAAACCACTTAGGGCTGGTGCCTTTCTTTCACTGCAGGACCCCGACTGGGCCTAATATAAAGCAAGACATAACAAATACTCCATGCATATCACATGCATGCTTAGTGCATAGATAACTACAGTTATGTTTTGAACTATTGAAAGAATTCTAGTGTTCATTCTTAAATTCCTGTGTTAAAGTTACTAGATCAGAATGAATACAGTTTCTGGGACCAAATATTTTGTTCATGCCAAATTGCACTTCTGATTTAAATGGACACATTTATCATGCACAACTTTTCCACATATACTTGGTCCCAGTTTTGAGGGTTTTCAAATTGTCAAGTCTATATGGCTTGTTGGAATGATGGAACCTTTCTGGGAGTTTTGAATATCTGCTAAATTAGTTCCCACCACATAGTAGTTTTATTCCTGGGTTTTCTCACTTGTGTTTTGATATAAACTTTGAAATCAATTTATCCAGTTCCAGAAAAACTAACACATTTTGACTTGATCTGTTTGACAGTATAAATGTTTTTATCAGTCATTCAAATCTCCCCCCATGAATATTTTAAAGATTTTCCATATCTATTTTCACATCTCGTTAAGGCCACAAGCACCTTACCTTTTTTATTGCTATTATAATTGGTGTCTTCTTTTCAGATATATCTTTTAATTGGAAGATACAGTGATTTTATCATGTTTTATCTTGCGACTGTACTGAATTTTCTTACTATTCGTGGCAGCTTCATATTTTTCTCTTGTGGGTTCTATATATGCTTCAAATCTTTTGTTTGTTGTTAATCCTCACCCAAGGATATTGATTTTTAGAGAGAGTGGAAGGGAGAGAGGGAGGGAGGGAGGGGAGAGAGAGAGAGAGAGAGAGAGAGAGAGAGAGAGAGAGAGAGATTAGTTGTCCCTTGCACATGTCCTGACCGGAGCCAAGATTGAATCTGTAACCCAGTATGTGCCCTCAATCCAGAATTGAACCTGTGACTCTTTGGTGCATGGGTCTGAGCTGTAACCACTGAGCAACACCAGCCAGGGCACTCCACTCCAAGTCTTTTTCACAAGAGAGTTTCAAAGACTCCTTTCCATTTTCCTGGATGGTTCTCTTCTCTTGTGCAGCTGTAGTAGCTTATCTTCTGTGGGAAGGAGCAGGGCATAAAGGGGCATCTTGCCCTTGTCCATAATTTTAGCAGAAATGCACTCCACGTTACCCACTAAAGAAAGGCTACCTTGCCCTGACCAGTTTGGCTCAGTGGATAGGCCTGCAGACTGAAGAATCCCAGGTTTGATTCTAGTCAAGGTCATGTACCTTGGTTGTGGATACATCCCCAGTGAAGGGTGTGCAAGAGGCAGCTGATCGATGTTTCTCTCTCATTGATGTTTCTAACTATCCCTCTCCCTTTCTCTCTGTAAAAAAATCATATATATATATATATATAGATTAGAGGCCTGGTGCACAAAATTCATGCATGGGTAGGCTCCCTAGGCCTGACTGGTGATCAGGGCCAATCAAGGCCTTCCATCTGCCGGCCCAGGGTTTCCCTTTCCCATCTGCCAGCTGCTGCCGGGGCCTTCCTTCTTTCTGTGCCATCTCCTGGTGGTCAACGCACATCATAGGAGTGATCAAGCTCCCGATCTCCTGGTCAAATCCATAGGCGACACTTGGCATATTGGCCTTTTATATATATAGATTACCTATTGGCTCCTATCTATACTAATAAAAGGGTAATATGCTAATTAGACAGGAGACCTTTTGGGATACTTTCCAGATGCCCTTCCAGACAAAGCCATGGTGATGGGCTGAGGCAGAGGTGGGTTAGGGGCGATCAGGCAGGCAGGGGGGAAGTTGGGGGTGAGCAGGCCAGCAGGGTGGGGCGGCGAGGGGAGAGTTAGGGGTGATCAGGCTGGCAGGCAGAGTGGTTAGGAGCCAGCGGTCCAGAATTGTGAGAGGGATGTCCAAATACTGGTTGGGGGCAAGCAGGCTGACGGGGGTGGGGGATGGGGCGCGCAGTTGGGGGTGAGCAGGCCGGCTGGGGGGTGCAATTGGGATTTGTTAAAAGACTTAAGTGTGTGTGCGTGGGGGGGGGGGCTTCGGTAATAATGTCACTATAAAAATAAACTATAAAAAGACTTCATTAGTATTATTCTCTTTAGCAAAGCAAAGATATGATGAATTATATCTGGGAATTATCTAATTAATCATCCTTCCATTAGTGGAATAAATCCTACTTGATTACAATGCACTACTTAAAAATAAAGTTAGATTATGTTTGCTAATAACTCACTAGGGATTTCTTAATCCATAAGCTGGGTTGTCTCAATCTTCCCTGTGTAATCATATTTATATCCTTATATACATGTGCTGCTAAGGAGCATCTGTATGTGCTCCTCCCAGTCAGCGTCTGGACAGTGGGGGCAGCACTAAGCGGGGGTAGGAGGTTGGGGAAGTGGAAGGTGGGGTGTGATTTCCAAGGAAACCATCTCAGTCAAGGCCTTTCACTGGGAGGGGAAGCTCTTAAATTTCTCCATTTCGTCCATGGAATTTGATCTAGTAACCATCTCTCTCTACTGGAGTTTCATTCGTTTCTTTTTCTCCTACAAAGTGAAATGTTTCATCTTAAATTTACTTACATTGAGAGTTGTACAATAGGTCTTATGATTTCTTAAAATTTCTGTGTTTAAAGGCTATTTCCCCTTGTTATTTCGTGTGTGTGTGTGTGTGTGTGTGTGTGTGTGTGTGTGTGTGTGTGTGTTGGTCTCATTTTACTAGTATATCTTGATTAGGTTAGTGATTTCTTTTCCTGTTTTCTTAAATCAGATTTTTAAAATATTAGCTTGAGTGTTTTCCTACTGCTTGGTTCGTTGATTTCGGCTTTTATCCTTTTAATTCCTTCCATGTGCTTGCTCTCAGTTCATGTTTCCCAATTTTCAATTTGTAATGTTAAGTACTTAACGCTGTGTTCCTGGTAGTTGTATTAAAACAACAACTTTCTCTGGGGCCTGGATCTAGACTCAGACATGTATCTGTGTGGCTGTCCTAGAGACGCTGTGTCAGTTTGTAATTCTCCTCTCGCTCTGCCACCTGTCATCCTGACAAGGCTACTTGTCCGCATGAGGGAGCCAGCACTCGGGTGGAAAGACAGACACAGGAATTCCAGGATGCTCACTTTGTAAATATTTAATAAATGACCAAATCTCAGGTACCAGAGCATTCAGCCTAGGCACCTCGCTCTCCCTGGGCACCCTGACTCTTCTGTGGTGAGAAGGGGTCTGCTTCTTGGGGTGTGGCCCCGGCTCAGCTCCTTTCTGACCCGGAATTGTCCTGGCTGGCTGCCCTCACCTCACTCAGATTCCTGAAGACTTGAGGGGCTGAGATGGGCAGGGACCGGGGCATGCAGCATGAGAAAGCCAGGGTAAGGGTCTTGCCCTCACAACATTGTCAGGAAGGTCATCATGGTCATAAGGACATGGACAGAGGGCCCTAGAGAGGAGGAGAAGGTGGGGAGCGGCTGAGGAGGTACGGGTGTTAATGCTATCTGATGATGGATCCATATGGAGAAATGGGAGACACGAGCAAAAACTGTAGGATACATGGGGAACAGGCAACCACGGCTCCAGCTCACTATTCCAATTTGCACCCATGTGTGGTTGGATTCACAGACGAGTGGGCCCCCAGAATCACCCTGGAAGAAAAGAGGAGTTTCCTGTGAACCCAGAGCCTGGGGCCTGCTGCCCCCTGCATGAGTATGGCCCAGAGCCCAATCCTCTAGGGCCAGTCCAGAGCTCCTTCACACCGCAGCCCCACTTGGCCAGTGCCAGATCCTGTTGTGGGAAGGCAGAGCAGATGCCCAGGGTGATAGTCAGCAGGCAAGGCCCCTTTGGCCAACATTGGGGTCCACAGGGCACTGGGCACTGACTGGGTTGTGTCCCATCTGTACCCAGGCCAACTTACAGTTTTGTCCAGCCTGTGGCCACATGACGATGTGCTCTGAACTTCACAGGGGCCAGGCTTTTGGGGGCCACCCACCCATTCAGTACAAATATCCCCTATGGCTTTAAGCAGATGGAACACATGAAAGTTATGGGTTTGGCCCCCATCCCTGAGTCAGAATGCACCTCGCAGGCTGTCTTCAGTTCCCCGGGGACCCCGGCACAAATCATGTCTGGCACAATGTATGATGTGTGTCCATAGAGCATCTGGCATAAGACGAATGGGATCAGAGACATCTGCAACTCCTGCAGGTGGTCTGAGGTGTCACCTGTCAGAAAGAAGCACAGATCCAGTGAGAGGTCCTCCCCAACCCTGTTCCTCAGGACACGCCCAGCCTAATCCAAGGCCCCGTTGGCTCAACCAGTGGCTTTTTCTCTTGCTCCTACCCTCCAATGGCTCCCTTCTCTGCACTGGGATTCAGGCATTAGTCAATGAAATACGAATTTAAATGTCACATGAAACTTTATAAAAGAACCATCAGAGCCAGGCCCATCAAAGCCTGCAGCATGTCTTCCCACTGCTATAGCATGAGTGCACGGACTTCATCAGCTCTGTCCCTGGTAGCTGTAGGGATGGGGATTGTAGGGTGGCACTGTATGTACAAGAAAGGAAGCTTTGAGTTTTGTGGCGCGTCACCCCTGTGTCCTCTTTGTGCCTAGGGATATAGAAATTGGTCCCAGAAAGTTTAAGCTTTCCTGACCAATGTGTGAGTGGGTCCCAAGGCTCCCTGCCAGCCTGACTGGATGGAGCTGCTCCCACAGATTGACAACCCCTCTGATCAGGGTTAAAGGGGACCTGTATTTGGGAAATCTGTTTTGGAGCTGACGCATATGGACCTTGAGGGGAAGAGATAGAAAGCAGAATGCCAGCAGTGTCTGTGGTCACTGCTGCTGTGTTGGTGAGGTAATTAATGTCAGGAAAAGAGGCACAGAAGAATTAGTTGGTGCACATAGAATGCAGAGCAATAGAGACTCCACAGACTTAGGGTGTTGTGTTAGAAGAGGCCACCCAGGAAAATGCAGTTAGGAAACTACTTTGAAACTCCCAAGCCAGTTAAAAATCTATCTATGGACTTTTGGTGTGGCCACTGAGAAGAGAGAACAGAGGAGACAAGGTCTACAAGGGCCCCACATCCTGCCTAGAGCACTTTCGAGGCCTGAAATGCAAAGAACACAGGCAGCTGGAATCTGCAAGGTGGATGGATGCCAGGAGGAGGGTGTTCCAGGGGAAGAGAGCCCCAGAGGCCGCACAGGGGGCTGGTTTTCCGTGGTCTGCTGCAGGACCCTGAGCCAGGAATGTAGAGGGTACATCTCCACAGAGGGCAGAGTGGCCAGGTTGGACGTCACAGTACTCAGAGCTCAGCGGGGCTGGGAAACTGAGTTCCAATGGGCCAAGAATGAAGAGTCTCATGGGATGCCAAGGACACTGAGGGAGGCAGTGTTGAGGTGGGAGAAAATATCCCCATTATGCTCACAGGGATGCTGAGGCCACACAGAACTAGGCAGACAGAGGACCATAGTGATGAGCCTGGCACAGACTGTTTCACCTTTCACCGGACACAAAAGGAGAAGTACAGCACAGACATGAGTGGGAAGAAGTCAGCTGTAAATGCAATGAATTCTTCAGTGCTGGCAGTGAACCAGCTCAGGAAACAGGAAAACACAAGACAGTTAGGGGTGATCAGGCCGGCAGGGGGGCAGTTGGTCATTCCATCATAACAGAAGGGCATTCAGTGAGAGCTCATGAGAAATACAGGGGGGGAGGGGGAGGGCAAGGACCAGAGAGAAGGTTCCTCAGGACCAGAAGAGATAGCCAACTACCACTGGGGACCCAGAAAACAGAGCTTGCACACAGAGGAGAGCCCTTCCACCACTGAGGGGCAGCACATCATATACTCTGCCCCAGGGCCTGGCACAGGTACACTACTCTGGAGGAAGGACAGAAACAAGGCCCATGTCTTTGAAAGTCCTCTGGGTTCAAGAACTACACAGTAACACCATAGTTTTGCCTGTTCTATTTGCTACCACAGGCACAGGGATCTGCTATCATGAGGACAAGAAAATAGAACAATCATAAACAATTTACTCAAATTATTGACACACCATTAAAATATTTGAAGCAGAGCCCCATAAAATTGAAGGGTAAAGTAGACAGTTCTATAATAATAGTTTGAGACTTCAATACCTCACCTTCATTAAAGGACAACCAGACATGGAAGGAGGTAAAGGACTTAAACATCACAGTACACTGGCTAGATATAACAGACACATACTGAACACTTCACCCAACAACAATATATACATCATCTCAATATACATATACATGGGGCATTTTCCAGGATAGATCATATATTAGGACACAAATTAAGTCTCTATAGATTTTAAAATATATGACAAAATTGGAAATTGGCAGTGACAAAAGAATAGACAAATTGGACTTCATGAGAAATTTAAAATGTATATGAAAAGACACTTCTAGAGTAAAAAGGCAACCCCTCAGAATGGGAGAAAATATTTTCAAATCATATATCTGATCAGGGGTTAATATCCAGAATATATGGAGAGTTCCTAAAATTCAACAACAAAACAACCAACCTGATTCAAAAGACTCTGATAGATATTTCTCCAAAGAGGAGATACAAAGAGCCAATAAGCACATGAAAATATGCTCAACATTACTAATCATAAGGGGAAAGCAAATTAGTACTATGAGATATCACCTCACACCCATTAAAATGGCTACTATCAAAAACAGAAAACAAGGATGTGGAGAAATCGAAACTCTTGTGCACTGTTGGTAGGAATAAAAATGGTACAGCCACTGGGGAAAATGTAGGTTCCTCAAAAAATTAAAAATAGGATTATCATTTAACCCAGCAATTCCACTTCTGGCCATATACCCCAAATATTTGAAAGCAGGGTCTTGAAGAGATATTTGCACACCCATGTTCATAGAAGCATTATTAACAATAGCAAACCAAGCGCCCACAACATATTAAAATATGGCATACACATACAATTGAATATTATTTAGAATTCCAAAGGAAGAAAATTCTGAAAATTTGTTACAACATGAACAAACCTTGAGGGCATTGTGCTAAGTGCAATTAGCCAATCACAAAAGGACAAATACTGTATGAGTCCACTTTATGAAGTAGCTTAGTCAAAGTTATAAATACAGGAAGTATAATGGTGGTTGCTAGTAGCTGGTGAAAAGGGGGAAATGAGGACTTACTGTTTAATGAGTATACATTTTGATTTACAGGATAAACAGAATTCTAGTGATTATCATTGGCAATGGCTGTATAATGATGTGAATGTATTTTATATCATTGAACTGTACACTTAAAAATTGTTAGGATGGGATATTTTATGTTATGTGTATTTTAACACAATAAATATTTTTGGATAGATATAGGGGCCTGGAACCAAGATGGTGGCATAGGCAAATGCAGTACTCACTGCCTCCCACAACCACATAAAAATGACAACTAAACAACAGAATAACCATCATTCAGAACTGCCTGAAATCTGGCTGAATGGATATCTTATAACTGTAAAATTAAAGAAGAAAGCACATTGAGTTTGGTAGGAGGGGTGGAGATGTAGATCAGGCTAGTCTGACAACCATGTGTGACATCTTTTTTAATCAGGAGGGATATCTAAGCTGAGGAGACCTTCCATGAGGAACAAGGGGTTCCAGACCCACACCAGACCCCTCAGCACAGGGTTCCAGTGCTGGAAAGAGAAGTCCCATAATTTCAGGCTATAAAAACCAGTGGGGATTGTGGTTGAATGACATGGAGCCTGCTGGAGTCCCTATTGTTTCTCTTAAGGGACTGGCCCGTGTACTTACAGAGAACTTGCTCCCTCTGAGATACAGTGCTGAGGCAGCTGCTTGGGTGGATTCAGGGACATACAGGGAAGAACTGGATTGTTTGACATCAGAGAAAGAACTCAGGGATGGCTTTCTCTCAGACAGGGGTATTCGCAGTGGTCATTGTTCATATGCCAAGACTTTCCCTTTTGCAGAGCTGACTGGCAGACGCCAAATCTGAGTTTCCATTAATCTGGCTCACACTGTTCCTTATGCCCTGGTGATTCCCTAAGACCCCATACCACCCAATTTTCAGCCCTACCCAATCTGTTTGCAGAGCTTTTCCATATGAGTGAGAGCTTTTCCTGTCCTGGTTCAGGCTTCAGACTTTCCTAAAATCTCTCAAACTAGCAGCAGCTGGCATCAGCATACCCCAAACCACTCAATAAGAATCCCTAGGCCTGGCACTAGCAGCAGTCTGCCTTGTTTCACAACTTGGCCTCTCCTGGGCACTTCCAAGCCCAACACATGTAGCAGCCATCTGCAGATTGCTCTGCAGCTCCTGATGGGTGGACCCAGGCAGGGCATAGGAATTGGATGACTTTGCACCTCCAGAAGGGCCCTAGAGTTAGTGCATATGGTGGATAGATTTAGCCCATTCCAGATTACAACTCTACACATCTATGAGTGACACACTCAAGGGGCAGACTCAATGAGCACCAAAACCCCACTGAAACAAGTCCTGCTCATAGGGGTCTCTCCTGCACAGCACTTCTTCCACTGTAGTCACAGCTGGCCCTCACAGTCAGTTGGCCTGGAGGTCAACTCCTCCCAGTGATCCAACAGCAATAAGAGCTCAACTGCAATAAGACTGTGCACACAGCCCACACAGAATGCATCTAGGCTGCCCAGATAAAGTGACTGGGGAGGCTGAGCTACTGGCCCCTACAAGATACCTACTACACAAGGCCATTCTACCAATTCCAGGAGACATAGAAGCTCTACATAATACACAGAAATAAACACAGAGAAGCAACCAAAATGCAGAAGCAAAAAAAACCATGTCACATGTTGTGGGCTCATTCCCCAGTAGGGGGTATGCAGTAGGCAGCTGGTCAATGATTCTCTTTCATTGTTGATGTTTATATTTCTCTCTCCCTCTCCTTTCTCTCTGAAATCAATGAAATATATTTTAAAACATTTACAATGAAAGGTGCCTGGATCAGAGTCCCATGCTCCAGCTAGTCTATCACAGGCCACCCACAGCCGGGTGAGCTAAATGAATGCCTGCCACCATGCACAGCAGGATTTTACAGTTCATTGTAATGCAGTGTTATTGTGGCAATACTAGTATATACATATCACAAAATTGGTACCTAGGAATTGGAGGTTGCCATAAAAATAAAAAAAATGTGGCATTGGTTTTGGGACCTAGTAAATGGGAAAAGGTTC